TTCCATTGGATGACAAGGTCACTGCCTGAGTTGCCAGGAGGTAAAATGGGTGAAAGCAGAGCAACAGAGTGACAGTGTCTGTGGTGTCTCTCAGATAGGATCTGTGTTTGGGCACAGGAAGGGACTGGAGCTGGGCTGGGAGGGTTTGGAGATGGAGGTGACAGTGTCTGTGGTGTCTCTCAGATAGGATCTGTGTTTGGGCACAGGAAGGGCCTGGAGCTGGGTTGGGAGGATTTGGAGATGGAAGGGGTCAGGGTGGCCCTCCCGTGGAGTAACCAGGACTTCAGACGGGACCCCTTTCCTTTCTCAACTCCTTCTCAGAGAGGAGCCCAGGGGTGGCTGCATCAACCTCAGACATGGGCAACGGTTGAGGGCTAAGGGTCCCAGGGGAGTTGAGGATGTTGAAGGTGAAAGGGGAAACCCTCCCTTGTGGTCCCGAGGTTCAGAATAGACACCCCCCTTTCCCTCCAAACTTCTTTGGAGAACCAGGGAAGATATAACCCTCATCCCAGACCTGCTCAACAGTTTCTGTCTAAGGATTTAGAGATATTGGGATTTCAGTGTAGTGCTTAGGGCAACTTTGTACACCTAAAATGGGGGATGCCGACAGCAGTTTGACTAGATGAACACTAATCTGGGAACTGACAGTACTTAGAGACTAACCAAATTCATAGCCTAAAAGAGACTTCTAAACTAAAATTCTTAACTTATCAACTCAAATAGTTGATAAGTTAAAAACTAACTTATAGACTAAGTGCCCCAGAGCAGGGGGGTTTGTAGCACCCTGGTGAGGCTCCCCATGCTGGAGGAAAGGGAAGGAACTGACCCATGGCCAGAGAAAGGCTGACAAGATGAGCATCAGAGTCATGTGTAAACTGGCTGAGAGACCTGGGGCTCTTTATCCTCATGCAGGGGAGGCTGAGGGAGAAATAGTCACAGCTTGACACAGCTTGAAAAATCTCTTTCAGAGATGATGGCACTTTGAGCAGTGGGGAAGTGCATAAGAAAGGAAAAAGTCTATAAACTGCAGCTTTGGAGGTCCTAAATGAAGCTTTGAGTAGCATGATCTAGTTGGAGATGTCTAGTTGAAGTTGACTAGTTGGAGATGTCCCTCCTCATGGCGGGGGGGTTGGACTAGATGACCTTTGGAGTTCCCATCCAGCTAAGACATTCTATGATTCCAAAGTGCACCTGAGGATAAAGAACTGTCATTCTGAGGGTCGTGCTCTGGTACAAGAGGTACCCAGAGGGAGCCTGGGCCAGCCCATGGCTTTGTATATCAAGGAAGAGATGGTGAGGATGAAGAGACACCAGTGCAGTGAGGGATACCCTGGGGTGAGAACAAGGTGTGGAAGCACGTTGGGTGTCTGCAGGACAACAGGCAGAGCCGTGGGACAGTGCAGGATGGGCTGTGGTGCAGTTGGCCAAGGGTACTGGCCAGGCTGAAAGGCCTTGAGAGAGCCGAGGTCTTTGTCCCCTTGGCCATGGCTGATGTC